GGAGATAAGGTTGCTTTTCTCCGCAGTATAAAGGATTGGACATCATCCCACCATGCTCCCATAACTTCCGGTCCATCCTGGGACTCACCAGGGATGACAATATGTAGCCGCCGCAACCGTGGCCACAACAGTCCATCTCTGTTTCGAGCCAGAACTCGCAATAGTTCAAGCCCGGCTTCGTCCGCAACGCGGGTCAAGTGGACCTCCAGCCTACGGACTCCCGACATACGTTCCAGGTTGTCAAGTAGCGCGGTCTTCTCCCCCTCGGATATCGCCACAAAGGGATCTGGATACATCGTCTGGTCCGGAGGCGTACGTGTTGAACGAGTGGCTGTTTTGAATACGACTGTTGAGATCGACGGCCACGAGAACATGCTGAGCATATAGGACACCGACATAAGCTGGGTGTGTTTGTGACGGGTTTCGCAGAAGATGCCGTCCATCTTGTGCCTCACTTCAATGCCCGTTTGATTGTCGTTCCGAATGAAGTCATCTTCCACCCTGAATGTGATGCAGGCGCAGCGACCCGATGTGCAATCCGTCTCGATGTTGAGGTACACTTCGCCGTGCATGTGACACTCGAAATTGGTAGAAAGAAGCGAGAACCGTTCGGCTGATTTCCGCTTGGCGGACGCGTACATCTCTCGCCGAAGGCAGGATGGCGTTCGATCGTCAGGATGGGTGACGTTCGGTGAGGGGCGAACGAGTTGAACAGGGCGCGTTCTCATGATCATGTTCTGCAGGAGGGGAGAGTATATTGATGATAGCAGATCGACCACGCCGTCGTCCAAAGATCGACGATCATCGACCACGATAGTGCGGCAGCGAGGGAGTATGATCTGACGTATGGGTCCTGCTACGCGCCCAGAGCGCGGGCACGATACGACCAGGCTACGGATTGAAGGACTCGCAGCCAGCAGAGCCATTAACTGCGTGACACTCATCTCGGCATCCACAACTTCTAGGTTGGAGGAGTGAATGATGGTCGGAGTACTGATACACAGCCGAGTGAGTGCCGGCAAGGCCGTCGAAGGTGAAGGGGCATTCGGAGGCCACTCTCCGACATCAACAGTGAGCGACGTAATCCTACTGCCCTCCATGCAATCGAGGCATGCTTGCCATAAGCCGTTATCGTAGCCTGACACGTCACGGACTACGACAGACCGTAGTTCAGGGCAAGACAGCAATACAGACGTTAAGAGAGGGAACATGTCCGCGCGAAGACGATTAAACTGCATAGATTGAAGATTTGAAGCGACCAGTGTGGCGGGACCATCGATGGCGAGGTCTACTAGCGACGGTGCCTTTATAATCAACGGGATGGGGATATGGTTGTGGGTGCCGCGAGATAGATGCAGGACCTGCAACATAGGTAGAGAGTCCTGCGACGACAAGACATCGTTCCAAGACAGAGATGGGCTGTCGTCCGCCAAGTAGGCCTCTGCAGCTCGTCCGATGGCCTCCGCCAGCATGGGGATTGGAAGGCGCGGCGCTGTGCGCAGAGTAATTGGTGCGTTCTTGCTCTTCGCGAACACGGTCTTCCATGCCTCCTTACTTTGCGCGGCAGCAAGCATAAGCCCCCAGAAACGCGGGGATCGGTTTATGACCGACGTCCATTGTCTGCAAACGAGGAGCAATCGAAGGGGGTTTTGCAGGGGGTTAAGGATCGTGCCGCGCAAGTCTTCTGCATTCGCGACCGACAGCTGCAGGACATTGGACAGTATCTCCTCCGGGAATCCATTACAGGGGCTCAATGACGGTACAGTAGCTGTAAATGGCTTTAGCGATAACAGAGGACGCATCCGGCGATCGCACCTTTGTCGCTCGGGCGTGAGTGGGCCATATCGTGTCAACTGTGCATGGGCCAGATGGTGGTCAGGAAGAAAATCGACAAGCAGGATGACAAGCTTGCGGTGGAAAACTGCGATGCATCCGCGGTAGACTAAGACCGGTGCCCTTAACGCTCGTTTATCACATGGGTTTCAATGTTTGAGTCTCCCCTGTCTTTAATTGCACTATATACTAGGTGTAGACGCATTGATGTACAGCATTATGTTGCTCACCATATGTGTCAGCTTCAATACCAGCATGCAGCAGTATAAGATCAAGATAGATTAATTGAAACGCGGATCACAGAAATTTGACGTCCTCGACTAAAGTAGACAAAACACGAATCAGTGACAAGGCAATATCCGACTGCATGTATTCATCTGATCCCTCGATTGTCACCTGAATGGGTAGCGGTAAATTCGGACTACACGCCGCCTTGCGCCGCAATACGAAGACCATGAAATCGTCCCACCATCTTCCCATACAGTCCGGACCACCTTTACTGCTTTCCAAGAGAATGATGTGAATGTGGCGGAGCTTGGGCCAGATGACAGCATCGGGAGGCTCGCTTAAAGCGCGGATAAGTGCTACCCCACTCTGATCGTTCACCTTGGTCAGTTGCATATTCAGGGTGCAAACTCCTGTCATACGAAGGAGGTTGTGCCGCAGTGACGTCTTCTCCTCATTGGAAACGGTGACGAAAGGATCCGGGTACAGTAGCTCCTCTCCGTCTGTCTCCAACAGCGGTGTGGGTGAGTTCACGGTGATGCACGAAACTGCGGGCCACGCGAACATGTTGAGCATGTAGACCACCGATATTAACTGCGTATGCTGATGCCTAACGCCGCAATATGTGCCGTCCATAATGTTCAAGATTCGGAGTCCGGAGTAACGAGAGGTTCGAATGTAGTTGTCACGCGCCGTGAACGTAATGGCTGCCGAAGACCCGGTGGAACAATCGGTATCAACGATTAGGTCGACGGGTCCGTGGGTGAGAGCTTCGATGGCTGGAGAGAGGGACGTGAATCGCGCTGCGCATATCCGCTTTGTCACAGTGGCCATGTCGTGAACAAGACACGGCGGGGCTCGATCCTCCGATTGATAATTATTTGGCCGAACACGGTTGATGATGTACGGTCTTGTTCTGAGCTGCATATCCCGTAGAAGAGGGGCGTATATAGACTCTAGTAGCTGCGTAAGAGCATCATCGACGAAATGTCGATCGGCGATTGTGATACTTTCGCAACGAGGAAGGTTGATGCGTTCAGGTGTTCCTGTCCGCCGTTGCGCGCGTTTTTGGGAAGAGAGTTTGAGAACGCGCACAGACGGGATTGATGATAAAAGAATCCTGAGCTGCGGTACGCTCAGACAGGCGTCCACGATTTCCAGACGCGATGAGTGTATGATCGCCGGCACGCGAAGGCACAGAGTTGTCAAACTCGGTAGGACTACGTCCGGAATTGGGCGGATTGAACCGAGGAAGCCAATTGTTGCGACGAAGGTAGATATGTGGCATCCTGCTATTGTGTCCAAGCACGCACGCCATGTCGGATACTCGACTTCTTCTTCTCCGGATATGACGAGTTCATGAAGTTGGCTGCCTTCCGCCACAGTAGAGGCCAGTAGGGGTAGCATGTCGCGATGCAGTTTACGGAGCTCCAGTTGACGGAGACTGGGGGCCCGCACTAGAGCTGACCGGTTGATCTTGAGCTCTTCTAGGTTTGGGGCGACGATCGTTGGTGGACTGTCGAGGTCGTGGCAAGCAAGATGCAGTATTCTCAACTGCGGTAGTGGCTCTCCGCTAGCCCATACGCTACCCAGGTCACCGCCATCGCCTGTGTTGTCGAGATACACCTCCAACGCTCGTCCTATGTGCGCCTCAAGAGTAGCAATCGGTAACCCGGACCGCGTCGAGAGAACCACTGGCGCGCTCTTGCACTTCGCTAACACGCCCTGCCATGCTTCCCGGCCTTTCGCCACCGCCAGCATCAATCCCCAGAACCGTGGTGATCTCTCTAGCACCCCCAGCCATTGCCGACAGACCAGTCGAAGTCGAAGCGGGGTGGCGGTACGAAACTGGACGTCGTGATTTATGTCGTCGTATGTACCGATGGACAGTTGCAGAATGCACGACAATATCTCTTCCGGAAGCCCAAACGGTACGTTTAGGTCTGCATTAAGCTATGAGAGACTGTTCGCGTGACTGGACTACACAGTACCCACCTTGATTGAGATCTGACGAGTTTACCATATCGTGGTGAGTGCTTGCCCTCAAGAGCCTGCAGGATAGTGGAGGTTTTCAACGAAAGTAGATAGGAGGTGGAGATTGGGTGCACGGCAGGAGAATTTGTCTTAGACTAGTCGGGAAGCAAATTTACCTCCGAATTGTGCGCCGGTAAGGAGGCGCGTGCGTGAAAACCGCGAGACGGTCTCGCGAGTTGCAATCACGTGTCACGACTCACATTGTACAATTGCCGCAACCCTTGGCTAGTATACATGATAGAGAAGTAGGATAACGTATGAGGATGACAATTTGGATTGGTGCAGAGGACTACAAGACGTCGAGACGTGTTTCCAAGATGAGGTCTACAGACCGATGAATGGGGGAGCTACTTATGAGCTGGAACGGTCATACTTCTACGCGGTGTCAGGCCCAAACACAAGCACCTTCCCATTCTTGGTCTTGTGCGGCTTCATCATCGTTCGTTCATCCACGACAGTAGATAGTTGGGCGATAGCCGCGATGAGGGGGGCCTCCTTGGCTACTAAGTGGCTGACAGAATGATGCCTGGTCGTCCGTCCAAGAAAGGTGGTGGTGAAATGCGACGGGCTTGTTTTGTTGTCTCGCAGGAAGTACCACAGACGGGTTAAGTTAGAAGCCGCATCGAATGACTTTAACTTGATCGTGATTGAGCGTAAAAGGAGCCCGTCGGAAAGGTTTGAAAGGATATCAAACTGACCCTCTTCTTTCAGCGTAAGCGAATGGACGCTTTCGAGAGCCCGCACAATTGTTTGTGGTTCCCAATGCTCAGGTACTTCGTCGTCTCCGTCGTAAAGCTCGTCCCCTAACGCCAGTGCATGTATGGACGCGCAAGGATACGAAGCGATGAGATCATGCCACTGCCATGTCGGGTGCTCGGCGTCCAATCTCAGTGTTAGACTTCGTAATTCGCTGAAATTAACCTTTACGGCTAAGTACGACGACGAATAGAGCGCCCTCAGCCCGCTCTCGTCGTATAAACAATCCGACGCTCGATCCAACGAGAGTTCTGCGGGGGATAGGGGTAGGCCGTCGCCGTACAGGCGTCGAGCGGTCGTGACAACGAGCGGTAGGTCGGTCACCCCGTATAGTTCACATACTAGCTTCGCGTCCTGGGGTACGACGTAGAAGTGGGTGATGACATCAAGGAGTCGTTCGTCGAATGACGCGATCTCCAGTGACGTGAGCGATCGTCGGGCTCCGCTCGTATGCGGGAACTTGCATTGAACGCCAGCGTTAATCACTCGCACGAGTTTGACACTCTTCAACGCGTGACAAGTTTGAAAGATATCGATAAGCACGGAAACATTGACAGGGCATTGACTCTGGTCTGCGGCATCGCTCCGCAAGGCAAGGCCTACGAGCGCCGGTGCGACAATCGCAGAGAGGCTGCCGCATGTCGTTGGCAGGAAGACATCGATCCAAGTGAGATTCGGAAAAGTCGTGCTCGATATGTTCTGTGTGATGAGAGGGGTGAAACATGTCCAGCGTGCATTTTTAGGCCACAGATCAGCGTAGATGCTCTGGCCCACTTGGCCGTATCGACAATGTACTCGTGCGCGTCGATTCTACGCGGTTGCCCATTAGCATTACTCGATAGAGTGTCCAGATCGATGTTTAACGGTGCGTCTCGAGCCCTCTGGTAGAACTCTGCCATGAGGTTGCGGTTGTAAAATGTTCCAATGCGAGTCCAGAGACCAGGAGTGTTGCGGATGATTTCGCGCCAGCGTTCGCAGACGAACATTAATCGAATCCACCCAAGGTCGACGCGCATGAGCGACTGATACCAATATCCGGCTGGTTGTAGGGACTGATAGAGAAAGAATATCATGACAAGTATCTCGTTCGGCAATCGGTGTATGAATGCCTAAAGGCATTAAGTATTTCGTCAGTTAACAGAGACCGTGACCGTACCTGCGCTGGAGGCCCGTTGGAACTCATATTGTCCTCCACTGCTACCGCGTTCATAATGTCGTTCGTGGATGGGTGTTGCGGATAAGTAACGACAGCGGCCACGTGTCACAAGTCACCAGACGATCTCGCGAAATGCGATCACGTGCTCCGTGGGATGACATCACTGCATTCAACTTGGCGGTCTCCGCCGTCTTTCATTATAGTCCCAACCGCCAACTGCCCGTGAAGATCGATAGTTTGGAATATGGCTAGTGATGAAAGTGCGTGTCACATAGTCCTGTATAACTCATGTCCTCAAACCCAGAGCAGACGGTGACAAGTTTCTGTCATGCCCCGATGAGATCCTCGTGTACATTCTCGGAATCGCGAGCGACAGCAGGCCAAAGCACAACCTCAGCTTTTACCGGCGGAACAGATGGCCGATAACTCTGAGAGGCGTGTGCTCACGGTGGAAACGTGCGATCGACGCGTGTCCTGCGTTCTGGGCCGAATTTTTAGGCGCTGCTGCCAACGATGATGGCTGGAACGCGATGTTGACGAAAGCGGGATCTATGCCTATCTTCCTCGCGACGTCTAATACGGTTTCTCTGTCGCTTCAAGCTGCAGCAATGGGACGCGTGGGCTGCGCGTTTATCACAAAGGACGATAACGAAACCCGCTGGAACGACATCTTATCCCGCGCCGGGTCCTTGCCCGCTCTGTCGACTCTCCACCTGTACAGGAGGCTATCAGTGTCATTCAACCCAACTCCTCTACATCTGGACGCTCCCAACTTGCGGATACTGTTTATCGACTGCGAAGGCCACATTAACGCACCCCTTCTGAGGACCGTTCAGTTCCTGTCCTTAAGCAAGACATTCCCGATCTCATTCCGCTCAATCCTCGCATCCTGCAACAATCTCACCGAAATTTCATTTGTCGCTCGCGACTTCTCGAACTACGGTATCTGGAAGGAAATATACGCCATGCTTAACAACAAGCCAATCACCTCTCTCACCGTCGCATTCGTCGCGTGGAATACATTCACGGCCCCATCACCAATCACGCTACCGGCCCTTACCAGTCTTATGACAAACGTTCCCACTCCAGTGCGGTGTGCGAAGGTCGTGGAACTCGCCGTCGAAACGGAATTACAAGAAACACTGGACATGCTGCGGGCACTGCCATCTGTTCGAGGGTTGTTGATTGGAAGCCATATCTACTCGAGCACTGCCGCTGGCGCTTCTGCTGTCCGCGATAGCCCGGTCATCATCCTTCCTCACCTCGTTGGGATTGAATATCGGGCGTCTGCAGATCTCCATTTATGTGCCCTCCTATCGGCGCTGAGAATGCCTAGGCTGTCGAACTTAGAAATGCATCTCGACGTCGATCTCTTCCAAGAACGGCACGCTGCGCCGGCGTTGGAGAACGCGAGCTCCAACCCCCGCGCATGGCTGGATCGCTTGCGCCATTCAATGTCATCGTTGGCAGTTCATCTCAAGGCGCTTACCACAGGTCCTGTGAAGCTGCTTATTCACATGAACGATCACCCAGAGCTGGGACCGTCCGTCGATTTCTGTGCTCGGGACTCAGCCATCGCAGATGGAGAATACAACGGTCTTAGCTTCTCCGCGACGGCACGTCATAGCGCGTCCTTCACCAGCCCCAGTCCAGGAGACTTCAGCCCCTTCGTTCACATCCTGCCTGCCTTTTCCTGGTCAACTGTCACAGTATTGGAGATGTCGTCGGAAGTACATTGGGACGCCAACACACACTCGAGTCAGATTTACTCTGATTTGTTCTCTCCGCAACACGCCAGCGACTTCCGGTCTTTGACGGAAAGCTTGGATGCCATGGCTGCTGTGACTACTTTGGTAGTTCATATAGGGCTGCACATGGGCGTCACAGGAATCCCCGTGTTGAAGATGGAGCGCATGGAAGGACCGGAGTTGTGGCCCGAGCTCACTGAGCTGACGCTCGTGTACGGGGACGATAACGCGCATGCCTTCACCCGTGAGTGGTGGAAGGATGTCAATACCTTTCTTGGACGTAGGAGGAACAAATGCCGAGGACGCATTCTTAGTCTCGAAGGCGTACTGGATGGGCAGGAAGAGTGTGCCTTACGACGAGAAATGGAGCAAGCAGGTGTTATCTTCCAAGTCCTCGCTATAGCATAAAACCAGAATTCACGTTTTGAACATAATTTTCAGAAATAGTGCGACCATAGCTTGTGATCTAGCGAGACTGATACCCTATCCTTGAGATATCGTTTTTTCAAAACGTACATGTCCACCAGATGCCATGACGGCATGGGCGGACTGCAAACAAGTCTTGCACGGGGATCACTGTGCCTACTACATACATACGCCCTTGCTTTGATCCCGTGCTGAAGACAATATGAGGCGGAGCACAATCGGAGTGTTGGACGTAGCCCTGGCGTGATGTGTGGATCGATAGGGGGAAGTCGGCAAGCCTCTTGAAACAGGTTGATGAGGCATCCTTCACAGTAGTCGTGTCCACACGGTAGCCTATTCCACTAGTCGAGTTCGTTGCTGATGTAGGGTAGAGGAACACTCACTGCCAAGGGTTGCTCATTGACTTGAGGCATAATTGACACTGAAACATACGACGTACTTGATCGCGTTTGTCCTATACGGCGATCAGTTGTAAAGGTAGGAGAAAAGGGTGCCTAGAATACGATCTTGCGGACCTGCTCGTGTAGAGATGACCATGGCACAATCCGCTCCCCGGCCAGGGGATCTATCAGAAGTCAGCAGTATTAACCCACTTGGGAAGAGGTGCGTACCGTTCTGCATTGCGTGAGACTGCCGGGGAGTGGGGGCTAACACTGAATTATTATATACCGAGAACATGAAACAACGAGGGGTAAAGCGAGACAATTAAGGGGTACATCAAACATCAGACGTCATGCCAATGACATCCAAGACCGTCAGTAAAAGAAAGAAGTCCCCGAGCCGGATCGAACCCGCATCACCATATTTGGCGAGGGTTTCAATTACGACTCCGTTATCGGGTTCTAGCCGGTTTGCATGCACTAAATGATATATGATGATCTGACAAAGACATAAATGCCCCGTAATTGCCACGCTCTGCGATGGCCTGTCCTCTGGTCGTTGCTTCGTCGGCGTCGAGCCCGACCGAGTCGAGATAGTCGTCCGGAACCTCCTCATTCTCCGCTTCATCCTCGGCGTCCGGGGCTACGGTGATGGCCGCAGGCAAGACGTACTCGTTATCGTCCTTCTCGGGTGCCTTGCGCTTGTTCGAAGCCCGCGACGCCTCGGTGGCCGGTGGTACGGCGTTTTTGGCCCGCCTAGTCTTGCCCGTCGAACGCAGACTCTTGACAGCCTCGCTCGCCATCTCCGCGCCCTGTGCGCTGCTGGAAGTACCGAACGCGTTGACACCCGAGATCCCTGTCTGTTCAGCGACCTTCGACGTCGCATTGCCCTGCGCCAAGACGGTCTCGAGTTGTATCTGTTTGATGGTAGCCGCTATAACGATATAGTCAGCTCTCCGACGTCGACGCAAAAGACGGTACGCGCGACTCACTCTTCCGCACGATGTTGTAAGGGTTTTTGAACTTCTTCGGCTCCAGCTCCCAGCCGATCGCGTTCCGTTCGCATTCGTCCACCTTCTCGGGATCTTCAGACCTCAGAGCGTCGGTGAACTCCGTAAAGATCGCGCTTTGAACTCGCCCTTCCCACAGCGCGCGCCACATCCGTTCCTCTAGAGCGGTGCCTATTCCAGAATTGTCGTCAGCAGAGTCCTCGTCTGGCCACCAAACAATCCACTAGTCACTCACCTATGCCACAGACCTTCATCCAATTCCACGCGCCGCAAATATCGTCCATTGTATCATGCATCGTCCCTGGACCCATCTCGCGCAGGCTCGAGGCCGCACCGTTGGTACCCGACCAGCAGCGCTCCGGACCTTCACCGTCGAGCACCCCCGTCCCGATAGTCCATCCAATGGCGTAGTTGATTTGGCACAATAACCGATGCGCGTACAGATGGAACTTCGGCACGCAGAACCTCGCCTTATCCGCGAGGATGAACTCCACCATCGCCATCGCGCCCGCGTACACCTCTCGTTTCTCAGGAATCTGTTCCAGTCGCGCCTTCAGGTTTTTGTGCCATTGACACGCTATGTCGTACGTGACGAGGACGAACGGAGCGCGGCTGTGCTTGAGCGCACCGCAGAGCGCATAGTCGACGCTGATATAACTGCACTCGAGCCGCTTAACGAACGGTAGGGGCGGACTGGAGCATGTAACGTACCGTTCACCTTTACGGAGCGTAGTGATGCCGTTTGGCTGCCAAAACTCGTGGCGACAGGTGCACGCCGCCATGCCCGTGGTCCTCAGACCCCGCCCCCCCTTCATGTTGGCTTGATTGATGGCGCCGAACCGCGAACACTCGCTCGGCTGAGATAGGGTGAGTGTTGCATGATAGCACAATACCCAATACCCAAGCGTACCTTCTCAAAATCGGCGCCCTCCATCTGCACCAAGTGGTCATAATAATCCTGCGCCGGCGGCATGTACGCTTTGCCATCGTTGAGGTATGGGTCGCTCTTGTCGGTCGAACGCGATAGCCTATTCGAGAGCCTGAAGTTCGCGTCAAGGGAGTAGACCGCGCGGTGAAGCCACCTATCAGTATTCGGTCAGTTCCTCTGTGTCGTGATCAACGCCGAAGCACCGGAGACATACGTGTTGGGGTCGGATTCCCAGCCGGGCCTCATGTTCATACTCTTGTCAGGGCAGGCGGGGCAACGGACCACACAAGCGCCATTCGGTGTGGCGGCGATACCACCCGGTTCATGACCTCGACCGGCACGTTTGAACATCGTGATGTGTCGGAACTCATGAACGCACGTCATGAACGCCTTTCGAATGTCCTATTCATCGCGAATAGCAACGTTAACTCATAAATCGAGAACGTCAAGCCAGCCGCACTCACCGGTACATCCTTCAGGTCGACGCCATCCGTTTTGGCGGCAGCAGCGCGATGATAGTCGTAGCCTGTAAGACGCCCGAGGTTTGACAGCCTAGTGAAGTCGTCAAGAGCTTCAAAAGACGTCGCGCTTTGCGGGTTTTCCACGGTAGACGGCCACAGGCCACGGCGCAACAGCTGAACGACGCGGGGAATATCCTGGCCTTCTTCGCAGGCACAAAAGTCCACCCTTATGCGGAAGACGCCGGTCGTGTGCAGAATCGTGAAGTGGTCGACGTGCGCGAGCTCACGACCGCGGCAAGCCTGGCCGGGAGGATGCAGCAGCTGGATACGCAATCCTAGATCACCCGGCTCCACGCGTTGCCGGTAGCCATGTTCGTGTGTCTGTAGCGGTACATCCATCATTAAACCGCATCAAGATGAAAAGGAAACCACGGCACGTACGAAAATCTTGTGCAACGGCTGCAGGCGATGCCACTGCACGACGCACTTCCGGCACATCGCCACGCTCGAACACTGTTCGCAGCTGTACTCCGGACGTCCAGGCGAACCGCAGAGAGGGCAAAAGTTCATGGTGAGCGCGTCGCCTCGGCCCTCGAAACGGATAATCTCTCTCAAGAAGACCTCGTCCCAGCGCAACCAGGCAAGTATGGGGAAGTCCTGCAATAAATCAGTCATCCATCTCAGGTACTGACTGCGCCATGAGTACTCACGGTTTCAAGTTTCCTGCGCCGTTCTTCCACGTCGCGCTCATCGTCACCTTCAGCGTCAGCCAGCGAGTCGCCCGCAGGTTGGGTTTCAAGCGTGTCGTCGGTCAGTGGCCCGTTATCCGGTGCGGCAGCAGACTCGTCCATATCGCGTGCGGACGGTGCATGTCCTAGCGCGGGCGTATCAGTACACCATTCAGAGCTCCAATAGCAGCACGCTCACGGGCATGCTGATTCTTAGAGGAGGGTACGACGCCCATGAATTGCTGCGACAGAGCCTTCTCCACGTCTTCCTCTGAGACGGTACCGAGAGCACTGGTCAAGAGTGCCGGTGCTGGGGTCGCCTTGGGAGCACTGTCGCTAAAAGATATAGATGACCCCTTAATATTGCGATCCAGGAGCCCGTGGAACGCGCCCGTCGAGGAGTGAGTGGTGTCGCCAAGCTTCAGACGCTTGTAGCCCTTCGCGCGCGGTGTCGGCGTCTTCGCGCCGGAGCTGGCATTGCCGAAGATATCACCAGAGGAGTTAAAGGATCCAGACGCCATTAATGGTAGTAATAGAATAATAAGCGAGTGTGGTACAGAGAACGACAACGAGAGGACAGAACGATGAGTCGAACCGGATGAGATGAGCGCGAGAGGAGAAACGGCAGAGGGCCGGGCCAGTGCGCCACACACCCACGGCCAACGATCAACAAACGAAATCAACAGATCAACAGAGTCCCGTGAAGTCGCGGTCACATGACTACGTGTGTGGCGCATTCTCACCCCTTCTCGATTTCCACCTATTGACCGTTTTGATATCTACATACGCATATCTACATTACATTGTTACAGCAGCCACATTTGTACATATCGTAGTCCTCGAGAGGCTTGTCCCCTTCCATCATACCAATACATTCTGCGCTTTCCGTTTCAGTCATCCAATCCGTAAACTGATCCCCCCGCTGCATAACGGACGCGCAGAGGGCACGATATGCAAGCCCGTCCGTCACTCCCAGCGGACCAATCTCCTTCATTGCTCTCGTTGTCGCGTGAGATACAGCCGTTGCGGCGCGACCCCAGGTACGTACGGGCGGGTCGGCGCGAACCCAGAGGTCGCGAGCAGCTGGAAGGAACTCGGCCGGAGCGAGATTGGGCTCCCGCCTCGTTGGAGGACCTTGAAGGCGTCCACCGTTCCATTGCACGCGCAATCGACTCCACTTGTCGTCTGGGTCAGCGAGTTTCAAACATTTGACGTGAAACCAGCTGAGGCAGACGGGGCAACGAGCCATTTCGTCGTCGCCACGCCTGTATGCGCGAGCGAAACGCTCCTCGGCCTCCTCGTTGGCACGAACCGGCCGGTCCCCATCTTCCTCGTCGGCGTGAGCAGCGCAACTCTCCGCTTCGCATGCGATAGGGCTGTAAGCAGGAGGCGTACGGAACTCCAGCGGTCGATGTTGCTTCCCGTTTCGGATATCGTCTGCGAAGTGTACGACACCGGGCTTCACAAAGGCGCGAGCGGTATCAGTTGCGGCCAACGGCGGCAGTGGGTCCATGCCCGAGTCATCTAGCGCAACCGGGGCAGCTTTTGCGACAATGTCGTGGGCGCGGCAAAACTCCCACAAGTCCGTCTTGACGTGTTCGCGCGGATGCAAGCTTACGATCAAGCTGATCTTCCATGAGCGCCTTTATGTCAGCAAATGTGGGTGGAGGAGCGCACTCTTGGATCCGTCGCCAGCGCGTGGGAAACGCCTTCTTCAGCCACCCGCCTGTGGCAAAACCGCGCAAGCCCAGGTACGTACGGCGAAGAGACACGCCGTCCTCCACAATCTCCATGCTGAAGACCTCCTGCACTTCGCCAAGCCAAAGCTGTATATCACGCAAAGGCGCGATAGCGCCCGGGTCGTCCGGGCGGTGCTCGTCCGCATCGAGTTCGTCCGCGTCGGTTGCTGGCGTAACATCGGCCGCGTTGTCCTCGGTGAGTGCCGGTCCGTATTCGAACAGACGATGCTGATGTGCCATCTTGTAATCGTCCCGGCGGACACTGCCCGTGTACCATACGCTGGTAAGTGTCTCGTTAGGCTTGCGCGCGCGCGCATGTGCGACTACAAACTCACAGGTCGCCGCGACGAACAGATACAAACACACCGGCAGATGGTAGCACTGACATGACGGTCAGCAAACATGCGTCGAGGGTCACAAAAGGGTCATACAATCGTAACTGCCGTCTCCGCTGACTTCGAATTCCCTCCTCGGCGCAACCCCGACGGGAAAGTGCTCTTCGCCGTAATGCGAGCGCACCCTGTCCACGAACTTATCCCATGGCAGTTCACGTATGTCCCAGCGCATGTCGAGTTGTACGAAACGGGGCCTATGTGTGCGCCTAGCGGTTGGCGAGATGGCAGGACAAGAGCGTTCGGCCAACGTCGGGCGATGGTGAAAACCTTCCGCGCGATCATGTGACTTTCGGCTGCGCTCGCTGGGTTTCAAGCGGCGGAACTACGCGTAACCCATGGGCATGGTCAGTCCAAACCGGCTCATAGCTATCCTACAGGATGTATCTTCAGAAACGTACCCTCATCCGCGAGTACACAGATTGCCTGCTCTGACACGGTCCATCAGCTTGGGATCTGCGCTCGTTGGAACTTTGATCTCTTACCTAGAAGAGAACTGGCCGAGATTTGTGCTCGGCTCACAGTGTAATATAATACCTGCTCGAGAATCAGCTCCGGAGTAGAAGTTGTCAGCGAGCGCACGTACGGCAGGGAGACTGCAACCACGACAGACAGTCACCCCAGGGTAGCCGTGGCCGGCGACGGTGCTTGGTGCTCCCAGCGGCTTGTGCGCGAGCGTGAGAGCTATACCGGTCAATTGAGCTTGTGACGCGCGCACAAAATGTTACATTCTCATGCGGAGACTTGATGTTGGGTGTCTTCCCCGCCGTGTCGCCGCAAACAGTGTTGGCATGCGCGGACATCACAACGTTCATAGGATATATGTTAAGACCGGGGCAAACGAGCGACATGATTTACAACCGTAGACCATTGAACCGACGGCGAACCGGAACCCCACAAATCGTGCGCTTCGAGCCCACTGCATGCTCCCCACACGACACGTAGTCATGAAGGTACTTCGAAGAGCACAGGCGCCCGATCACGCCCCATGCGTGCAGAGCCGCAAGCACGCCGAACGATACGGATATGTCGAACCTGCTGTTTACCGAGCGTCGCCGTGCGAACCGACATCCCATTCGCCACAATTGTACCCCGTCGTCTTGACGGAGGCGACGTAGAGACTGTATGAACGCGCGTGGCAATTGTATCCCGTCGTCGCGGCGGAGGGGACGTAGAGAATGCATGACTGTCTCTATGAGAGCAGAACAGAGTCTTTCGAGCAGATGGACGCGCGAGAAGAAAATGGTGGGAGCGCGCGCGCAACGGTTTCGCGCTAAACTGCGACGTGTGACGCACGCCGCATCCTATTGTTCATGCACCTCCGCCTCTAGCTAATGAAGGCCCGCTATCTACCTGAGACGCTCATAGCTTCGCCTTCGCGCTCTTTGTACCCTGGCACAGCGTCCCGCCGGAACAAAACCACCTCCTCCACGAGCACGATATGTCGTAATGAAGGACGCGGTCGCTGGGGATAGCGTCGGGGTCGCCCGTCTCCCGCAAACTACTGAAATATGTAAGTCCCTGACCGAGCACAGGAGGTCGCGGACGTACGGAGCTGCAGTGGGGTTGAAGTCCATGCACGAGCGAGCGTCACGGTTGTGCAGTCGGAAGCCATCGTCGATACGGCTTATCATGGAGAAAAGCTGCTCGGTGTGATGATTCGCGTCACCCAACTCTCGCGCGGCCACCACGGGCAATACGCCCGAGCGGCCATCTAGTAGGGCGGGGGAGCCACGCGAAGCGACGGTCGCGCGCTCACGGGAAAGGTCATTCTCGGTAGCTGCCCATCGTTGTACTCTCTGAGAGTGCTCCGCCACCGGATCGTACGTGCCATGGAGCTCTTGGAGTTTAGCCGTCAACGAATCAGGGCCGGATGCCGCGCGTGCGTTCTCCTTGTCGCCATCAACGGCCTCATCGTCTAAAACGCCATTAGGATGGCCACTAGATCACAAACGCTTCGCCATACCGCTGTCCCCGCTACTGTCCTCACTCCAATTGTCATCGTTCTCGTGTACGCAATCACCGTCTACCAGTATGTTAGTAAGTGACTGTCATCCTTCTCCGCTCTTAACTGCCACGTACCTGACTCGGACACGGTCTCTAGACTCGGCATAGAGTCGGGCACGCTCTCCGAATCAGCGCAGTGGTCGGACGCCTCGGTGCAGCACGCGCAGCGGTACATGATGGACAAATAGGCTGGGTAAGTAAGCAGCTGTGCTCTGCGACCGTCATTCTGATATATATTTTCTCGAGCGTATCTACCAGGCCCAAGAATTCACCCGCGGGCCGTCTGTCTATCCTGCGCCGACCGATCGGTTACGACAATGCCGTGCCTTTCTCGGCGGTCGCACCTCGCATCGTATTGCACAACTGAGTATAACGGATTATGCCTTTATAGAGTTACTGGAGTGTATGTGTTGTATTCTGAAGTCTTGATGAGCATAGACTCCAGCCATCAGCGTTGACTGGCATACCTAATCGGCTTGCGATAATAAATCCTCGGCATCCCAATCGTCTTCAGCATCGGAAGCGAACAAGTCCGCGTCTGATGCGCTCGGAGCGGGCGACGCGGCTCTTGATGCGCCGGCGCCGGCACCGGTGTCGTCGTCGTCCTCAGCACCGCTGTCGACCCCGCCGCTTGATTGCTCTCCATCGCTGGAGCTATCCGGCGACGAGGGTATGGGCTGGTCATGCTTGCGCAGTAAGTCCTCTGCCGTCCACCACTGAAAGAGCTTGCGAAAGCTTCTTTGTTTGACCCTTTTGCACGGACGTGATCATGAGGACTAAATTCCGCGGCATGGAGATCAAGGTACGTCACCTGCGACCGCGTGCGATGAATGCGTCGTCCATTGCAACCGCACGTAACTGCGCACCGTCGAACGTGAGCAGTTCCATTTCCTGGTACGCCAAAGCGAGGTGCCTGCGCCGCTCGTGGAGCATACGCTCTTGTTGAAGCGCCCCAGCCTCGCACGTCTGTACGGTCGCCAGTGCATCGAGCTCTAAGTCTGTCATCCGTGATTCGAGATAGCAGAAGTAGGCACGATTGGCAGACAAATTATCGCCAAGTTCACAGCTCAGCCGCGAATGCACGTCTCGGAAGCTGTCCCATAGTCGCGTATCCGGAGCATCGCCGCCGACTTTCGCAAGCGGGTCATGATCTGGTTCTCCTCTGACGAGAAGGAGGTCGTAGGGTCTACGCGTGTCATCAATACACAATACAGTCTGGAAACCGCTCGTGCGAGGTTAGAGAATACTTCAGCAAGCCCCGCCGTGTCAAGTTGTACCGCTCGCGCCGCTCTTGATCTGCGGTGGGCCCAATCTTACGCCCTCCGCGGCCTTTCGATGTCTTTCTCTTGACTGGCTTTAATGAGGTGGTCTTCGCGCCCGACAAGGATCCTAAGTAAACGCGTGCTAGTTGTGGTCTGAGGTCGATGTAATCTGAGTAGTGTCAATGCATGGCGCGTACAGGCAACTTACTCCTCTGAGCGTATCGCATCATATAGCACACTGCGCTCGAATAAAGGGAGCGGCGATGGCATGGTAAATGCACGGTCGGTGCAAGATACAAGTTGCACGCGTATCGTTCAGCGGACCCGCCGCGGCGCCGCGCCACAACTCGGGCGCCAGTGCCACACCCACTGGCAGTAATATGCAACCTCAGCCTATCGCTTCAACTCTCGATTCATAATGGGGCATGAGGCCTGCATACGGTGCGGCCATCCTGGTGTCATTATGCTACCAGCGTACTTTCCTGTGCGCTCAAAGATCTCTGCGGGGTGTTCACTCCGAGTGCCCCGTGGTGCCACTTTCCGCGCGCCTGTTCTCTTGGTACACTACTGCAGAACAGTCGACATGATTCGCGAAGCATCGCTGGGACGCACGTTATTGACGGCCTGGGGTTACCTGTTTGGGTACAAACCTGGGGTGTATAGCAAACGTACGCTAGATAGGAGAGGTCGTAGACGAGCCACCGTTGCTGACCGCGCCAACAGGTTGAGATTGATGAGCCGATAATCATGGACGATCTAGCATCTGGGCACGGCTACGGAACGTGGTAATGACGCCCATGCAAGATAAGGTTGACGATCGCGGAAGGTCGGAGTGATGTGGAATAACTCGGGCCGCTCTCCGGAGCATACGAGGCTCTGCACAAGCAAAGGGATTGCGCTGAGTGCGTCGAGCGGAACCGTGACGCACGCCTCGCCAGCATAGTAGAGCTGTACTTAGAGAGGACGAGCGCGTACGGTTATGCAGGTAGGGAGCAAAGTTTCAGTGGAAGAGGGCTGGAGGAAGAAGGCCGAACATGTCAGCGCGTCGACGCGACGCGCCTGAGCTGCTCCCGCGTAACGCTGTGATATTGACCTGCTTCATTGTGCGATGTGGCTACAATTCGCCACGGCTCAGACTCAGCAGCCGTAGTCGGGCATACTATACGACTATGCTCCAGCTTTCTTGATACGGATCACCACCTTGTGTACGCTTATATCTATCGAAAGCTCTCTGCAGCCCCTTTGCTCAGCGCGTCGCATATGCCCCGAGTCTTGCCCGAACCATACCTCGCCTACGACGCCACGACGTAGCAGCTTGACCCGCTCACTTCAAGTATATGTATCGTCAATAACGTTTTCAGTGACACAACACGCAGGGTAGAATAACAAGTGGTGATGGTATTGGCATAATTGAAACAAGTAAAAGAGCATTAGTCCGTAAGAATCGTCCGCGTTGATACGTGTCTGCTCGTCAAGACGCACGCCAGACAGCCCTGCCTACGACGCACCCCACACAGCCCTGCCTCAGCTCTGTACGACACGAAATTTCTTGCTCGAGCCCGGCGACGCCCCCATGTGTCGCCCGGCCAGCCCAAGAACTCTCGACGCAGCAGAACCTACTGGTGCGCAGGTGTAAAGGGTGCCCGCCTTCTGCCACTCGTTTTTTCAACGCGGTTCCCAGGGCCACCCACCAGTTCAGCCTGGACTGCAGATGACACGCGTTGTCGTTCACCAAACGTGCGTCTGCGCCTGCGCCCGGCGCGGGACCCCATTCGGCCTCCAAATCCGCTTCGGACGTTGCTTCTGGGGCGCCGGCCGGGACGGGGATCGGTACCACGCGCAGAATAGGCTGGCCAGGCTCAATATGTAGCGCCTGTAGCGCGTGCAGAACTTGCGGGTTCGAGAGGAAGTCGAGTATAGTCCGCGCGGGCGTGGCGTCGACCAGTACGAGCGTCAACTCCTTCACGCCGCGGAACCGTCGCAGCGTGGCGTTCAAGTGATCGACATCGCGAGGCTCCCAGTCGTCGTCTGCGGTCGTGTGGTCAAAAACGTCCTCCCGCGAGTTGACTATGCGCAGGGCAGTGACCGGTAGCTCCGTAAGTCCTTCTAGCAACCTTGCCGACCCAGAAGCAAGACTGTTGCGACAATTGGACTTAAACGCCTGCGTACGCCACTCGAATCCAGGCTGGCCCATCTCCACAACAACCTGCCGGGATAGATCCCTCTCATCGCGTACCTCCAAGTCAAAGACCAGCGTTGATAGGTCGCGCCGTACTGATAGGTTCACGGACATCTCAGTCGTTGCCACCTGCATCGCCGTTACGATCGCCATCACGACGTCTCGCAGGTGCTCGCCGCCATGCACAGGTTCCGGACCCTGAAACGCGGCCACCACTTGCTGCCACATCCTAGTACAAGCCCTCCGAGCGGAGGTCAAACTCAGAGGAGCGGGCGTCGGATTGCCAATCGTTGGCCAAAAGGCCAAGCGTCGAACTTCTCCGAGGTCCGCGAAATCGGCGTTCAGAAGAACATCCTGCGCGCGATGCATCCTCTGAACCAGCTGCGACCAATTAAGCGTTTGATCATCCAGGGCTTCCCGCAAGTCCGCGATAACACCGGGAAGACAGGCACGCTCGGGAGGGGCCAACATATTGCACAAAAAATGGAAGCGCGTCATGACTGGTGCGGTTAACGCGCGCGCAAAGTCCAGCGCACTGCCCTGCGCATCGCTGACCATGCTGACCTCCTGCAGATTGTGAAAGTGTACGGCGCCAATCGACGGTTGAGGGCCGGAAGCAGCATGACTTGAAGACCGAAAGTGGGGGACACTGAGACGAAGCAATCGCCGCAGCGGCGCGAGCATGCGTACAAGTTCGGCGGGTGTGACGTGCAGGATGCGGGCATCGATCACGTTCGGCGCATCCAAGAGAAGAGGGCCGGCGATGTCTAGATGCGTGAGCCTGTGCATAGTCGCGACCAGCACGTCCGTTGGTAGCCGTAAGCTGTCCCATAGAGAGCACCAGATGGTGAGGGACTTGAGACGTGGCCAAGTGCGCGAGCCCAGGACGTCGTTCCACTGAATGCGAGGTCCCCGCGGCCGGCGTATCTCCAGAATTTCGAGCGCATGAAGCCGGGCGAATATCTCAATGAGCTGATCACCGGTGCAGTGGTGCACGACAAGCCGGACAAGGTTCGGGGCATTGATCAACAGCGGAGTCGATATTTCGCAGAGCAGCAACAGCGGCGCATCGAGTACACCTGCCGGCATAAGAAATTCGCCGATCTCGGCATGATAGAGGCTCGGGCAAAGATAGAGCACGGTGAGCAGTGGCATTACGCCGACCTCCGCCAGCACACTACTCCAGTCTCTCCAGGTGGTACGCCGTCCAGCGTATAATGCACCGACTTGGCCGAATTGCTGTTCCACCTGTCGCCCGGCCCAAGACCACGAATCGTATATCAGCCGGAGAGGCTCAGTTCCTGCTCGGAGTCGTATACGATTACGACTGCGAGAACCCAACGGAAAGAACGGGAGTAACCCAGCCCAAAGCTCCCGACAGCCGCGCGCGCAGAGATACCACGCTCGAGAACTTAACAGCAACGAATATACCGTCCAGAGCAGAACCGAGACGTCGTGCTCGGACGAGTAGGCATACGCGTTTACGTCCAGAGTACCCGGCGCGAGGAACGCCAGGATAAGCGGCATGAGGTCGAGTAATATGACCCCAGTGCGCCCGGGTGACCAATTTGCTGCCCGTTGGATAGGAATCAGTTCTCTGCGCATCCGATGTCATTCACCATTCAACGCACCAATACTGACATCCCAGCCCGTTTCTTCCACACCCCCGTCTGCCGCCACCGCTTCATCGCCGTCGTCGTTCCATCCGTTACCCAAAAACTCCGCCCAGGGTGCAGGATCTATACATGTCCCGGTGGTATTAGCGCTTGTGCCGTTCACCAACACAACGATTGAACTGACCGACAAGAGCACCCCACCCTCCCCATCCCTCTGCATTCCCCTCGCCATTAGCTGCGCCGTTATCGTCCATTAAAGTATCCGACTGCAGTGAATAACGGGGATAGAAGAGAAGTCGATGGGCGTCGATAAGGTCGATGGGTTGGTGGATGTCTGCGCGAGGGCGCATCAATGATCCACTGTGTCGTTCGCCACGCTACACACGCTCCAGACCCCTGCCATAGCGAAATCGCGGGTGGATGGCCACATCAGGCACAAAGGCTAATCAAGGCTCGGAGGTCGGATGAGTGTTGCACGCTCGACGTTCAATCCCCACCACCACGACGCCAGTCATGAATGTCAACAGCACCAATCTGAAGGAGCGCGTGGATTCTATCCGAGCTCGTGAGTAACGTATACCTGGATCCTGAACAGGAGGCTTACACTGTGCAAGTGCTGCTGGCTCTGGACGCAGGTTAGAACCATTGCTCATGGCCGCGGTGGCCAATATTGATTCCCAGCCACAGAAGCTATGAAGATCGACCAGGTCTGGTTGAAGCTACCTCTCGATGCCGCCGCTGCCGCAACGGAGTCCGCACGAAAGGAGCTGCGCGTGCAGAGGGAGGCTGTTCTGCGAGCTTGGCATGAGTTGGTGCGGGAGACGCGCGGGAGCGCCCTCCTGGTTCCAAACGCGCTGCATGTGTACCCGACACCTAGATGTAGATGACTCGAGGTGAACCCTAGACCTGTTGTGGCTTGACAAAGCACGTTCGTGAGTGGAAGGAGATGGTAGTACGCTGGTAAGGTCTGTCTCGGATGGCCGCCATCATTGATGACACGTACAGACGTGTGGCTGGGAATAGAAGCGCCTGAGCGCTTAAAGACGTCTTCATCTCAACTACCATGGCGTAGCCCTGTTTTCTCCCCGTTATGTGTGATTGAACCTCCTGCGTCTGAGGATACCTTTTTGTCGCATCATGGTCACTTCCGGTTCAACGCCGGTCCACTTGATACGCGCACTCGGCTGCGCGCACTCGGCTGTACGAGACTGCCTTGTCTCCTCTCGAGCGTCGCCTATACGGAGTTGCTTCTCAACTTCTTCAGCGGGAGCTGAGGAGGTCATTAGCGCATCAGCGGCCACACAAAGTCTATTTCGTCATCAGCGATGTGTCGGCTGGTCCCCATGGCGGGTTCCTCGAAAACCCTGAGCGGCATCCCGATGTCTGCCGCGCGATCTCGAGGGGGCATGTGCGATTAGATACTTGCCTCTATCACTCACTACCACCCTCACCGCCACTAGAAGCATATGTTCGTCAATCGTCGCCCCGTTGAACGCGAGTCACCGAGGGGCGGCGCCTTCGCGCGCAAGAAGGTGCTCACTTACGACGATGAGTATTTTGAGAGCTTGGAATTGGAGCTTGAGCTGCAGGACAAGGCGAGGGCCGCGTTTCGGGAGCGCTCAGACTGGGTGTGTCTACGCTCAGAGGCTGGTTGGGTCGTGCGATCTACCCCCGCTTGCGCGACGCATGAAGATTTCAGACGAGGCCATATGGCGCACTCGGGTGTTGCCGCGGAGGCGTTGGCCCTCGTATTCTACTACATGGCGGCCGTAGAACACTTATCTGGTGACGAGATCGAAAGGTACTGGCGCGCCGTTGACTACTATTTTGAGAAGAGACAGTGAGTATGCTGTCCGGCGTGTTGATTGCCCACGCTGACCTGCGCGCTAGAGACGATCCATATGATGAAGGCCTATGGCACAACGACGAAGGCGAATGGAGAGGGAATCCCGCCACATCGCAGGTCGTATGCCTCGCCATCAATCGCGCTCATCAATTGGACGCGGAAATCGAGCCGAACGTTAGAAAGGCTGCCCGAGCGGCGTTTCTAGAGCGAGAGGCTCGTGCTCGCGCGCGCGAGGCGGCTGCAAAGGTGAGCGGGGATGCATGACGATCAGTGACCCCTGCTCACTCGGTTCCAGGCTCAACGGTTGGAGTACGTGGAGGTATAGGCGTGCATTGGGACTGACGTGCCGCGCATCGTCCAGTACATCGTCTTCATATTTTGTTCCTCATTAATCCGATGTATTTTGGTCGAATATTTTGGTCGAACGCAGTAGATATATGATACGCGAGCACGAGAACGGAGACATGCAGAGGAGATTGGCATAACGGTGACAAACACGAGAATGGAGGTAGCATAGGTGGGATACATAGCACGGACTGGATTCTCGTAGTACTCTAGTTTATTTCGATTGGAACTACGTAGACGTCAGCATCAAGGATATGCGCGCGTCGGAGAGAGAGCTCACTGTGCCCGGTGTACGCCCATGTTGGGTAGAGATCACTGATGTCGTCTAGGTCGGACGATGACATGTTGGAAGCCGCTAAGACGATGCGCCGAGTGGACGAAGATAGGACCAGCGCGCCTAGCTGTGAGCGATACCAAGTCTTGCTGTTACCCGGCGTAGACACCAACATCTTCACCGTGTCAGAGAGCTTCATCTCGACGCCATTCCACTGGGGAGCATACGACTTGAGATCGTAGACGGCACCGCGGAAGGCCTGTTCGAGATCGAGTCGTTGAGGCTGCGCAGAGAGCTGAGGAGAGTCAGTAAGTCTGAAAGGGTCCGACAGACGTCGGACTCACCGATGCATAGTAAACAACGCGAAGTGAGCGCGGCGTGAGTGTAAGATCGACAACAGGAGTGCGCGGTGGGGCGTCGATGACCTCCAGGCTAGGACTGCGCGCGCGGCGGTGACCAATGACTTCGATACTCGCGCTCCGACGAGAGGGCAGTGTGCGAGCCTGAGAAGCACGTCCGCGGGAGGGAGTCGCGCGAGTTGGCGCAGACGTGCGGGCCCCTGTGCGTCGGATGGTCTCTGGAACATGAGGAATGCCGGGGCGGCGACGAGAACGCGTGCTGTACTTTTCGAGTCCCAAGCTGCGTAAGAACGACGTCGTGCCCAGAGGTACATTCTGAAACGCATCAGACTGAGAGTATCGGCCGAGCGTGCCACAATGACTGACCGAAAGCCCAAGACGGATAGGACGAAGACCTTCATCTTGATATTCACGTGCCACGCGCCAATCTTCGAGCTCCATGAGACGGCGGGGAGAAAGAGGGTCGGATACGTAACGAAACATCTTGCGGGTGCTGCCGGGCAGTGGAACAGACGTCTAGAAAAACGTCAGCCTGGTTATTCCTTTAACGACCGTAGGTAAAATGCTTGCCACTACGTAGTAGCGTCCGCGATTCGGATCGTCAGCGCGGTATTGGAGCCTGGGGCCGATGAGTTCGACACCAGCGTGTTCGCATTGCTGGCGGATGGCGGCTACGAGCCATAACTTGATACGGTGAGCACGACGGCGAACGACACTACGGAACTCAGTGTTAGCCTTAGTCTCAAGCTCATTCCGGGCTCGAGCACTTAGCTTCGGGTGAGATTTGGCTTGTTGGCGGCGGGGAGGCATAAGTCGCAGGCGTATACACGAGTATGTAACGAACTTGAAGCTTGAAGCGTTGTGCGCGAGTGGACGTCCGAGACAAGATGCTGGGTACGGCTGGAGAGCCTTTATAAACCGCAGCAAGCGGAATGCGTGACTTGAGCGTTCGCGCGTGCCGCGGGTTCCTGAGGCGCTGTGGTGAGAGGAGCGCGTGAACTAGAGAAGGGCGCGTAGAATATGATGTATGAGCCGCATTCGATTGCGGAAAAAGAGAACAGGCGTAAACTACAAGGAAGTCAAGGTCTATGCGAGGGAGAAGTGCGAGTTGAGCACGTACTGTGAAGGGCTACCCGTGTAGATACTGGCTGGGGCGGCAATTGCTGCCGCAAGGGGACGCGATCTGGGGGGTGGACTTTGCTTCCGTGATTTGGGCATGTTCTCGAGCAGTACTGTATGTGAGCCGCCGTCCTATACGCACAGTGTCCTCGTAGGTAAGCATACAAACCAAGAACACACGCGAACGTGAATGACCGTATCAGTGGAACTGGCGCGTATCTGGGTGTGACGTCTTCAGCGGGGAGGGGCGGAACTGGAACTTCAGCCGATCGCGCCGGCAACTGGGCGAACAGCCCCTCGGGTGGGTCGATCGAATAAACCTGGCAGCGGAAGAGCGCACGCACGCGGCGCCCCAAGATAATATTTCGAGTCCGGACTTGTCTTGCAACCGTCGCCATCGCGCACTCGTTACTCTGCTTGCTGTCCGCTAATTCGCTACTGTCCTTGACGTTCATACCGATGGAGTCCACCACGAAGGCCGACAATAACACCGGGACCTCGAAGGCGAAGTCGAAGCCGAAGGCAAAGGCGAAGGCGAAGTCGAAGTCGAAGGCGAAGTCGGGAGGAAAGGTGGACGGGCGCGGGCGGCCGAAGAAGGTGAAGGGGAGGCAATTGGTTGATGTCCAAGCCCAAGTGCCGGTGTACATCGAGCAGCGTAACAACAACGACATAAAGGGCATCAGCAAGACGTTTCGCACGGTTTCGTTGGGTCTTTGCAATACGTACGGCTGGGAGGATCCACTCAAACCGATTGCGGTCGACGATGAGACCTTCACACCCGCAAACGAGCAGAAGGAGTTTTCGGAGAACGACGTGTCGCGCGCGATGAATCGGGACCAGGCGGTAGATCCCGACGCCGACGACGCCACTCTGGCCATGGTTTACAAGGTCAGACTCTCGCCTTCGACTTTGTGAGCAACACTTACGACATGATTTAGGCGGTCAAGAATGTGTTCCATCAGGAGTACAAGAAAGCGCACGCACACGACGTCGACGAGGATTGGGAGGAAGAGCGGTTTGACGCGGCGGAATGGCTAAAGCTCTTGGCGAAAAGGCCGGAGAAGAAGAGCGAGCTGCCTTTCTTCTTCGAGTACATGACGCCGGAGATGAACGCCGAAGTTGACGAGCATATGAATGCGGCGAATGCTCTGGCCAAGGCGTCGGGCGGGAACGCGGGCGGGAAGGGCGGGTACAAGAACGCCGTCGCGGCCAAGTACTTCAAGGAGGCGCCGGAAGAGATCAAGAGGAAGGTACAGGCCGCGCGCGATGCTCAATACGACGAGGACATGAAGGAATGGTCGGCACGTGTGGACTTGAAGCCGAGAAGCCCGGAGGAGGCCCGCAGGTAGATATATTTGACTATGCGCTTATCGGCAGCGGCGCTGACATAGTACGCGTAGGTGGATGCGCGACCTCGAACCCGTGCTCAAGCAGCTGGCTGGGGCTGTGGCGGAGCTTACGTCGGGCATGTGTCTATGGGTTGTTACTGCGCCAAACGACATTATCGGGTGAGTTGACTACGTGCGGGGTGACTACGATGCAAATTAACCTGACGTAGAGTGGAGGGTGTTGTCAACTTACCTGGGCGCGCGGTCATCCCTTATAGCAAGATCGACAGCAGGCTGGTTAAAGGTTTGGGCTCTGGCATGTCGAATCAGACCACGACGTTGAATGGTGAGGTTAGCGGTTCTTGATCAAGAGTATCGAGTGCTGATGATGACATCAGCGGTCAAATGGGGGACAGGCGCTGGCGACGGACATTGGGAGGCGGCGTTGAAGGATCTGCTTGTACTTGAGGATGGTGCCAAGGTGGAGGACGTGGACGTGGACGTGGACGTGGAAGGCGCTGAAAGCGACGCCGGAGAACCAGACCTGTGGCCAAACGAGGTGAGGGTCGCTCCGCGCAAACCGGCTGAAGGCGACGGCGCTGCTGTGCGCGCTGGAAGCACTTCCACGATACCCGCGTCTACAGCACAGGACGCGAAGAATGACGGCGTGGCAATCGACCCGGAGCTTGCTGCAGCGAGCGCCATCAGGGCCGGGCGGGGTGCGTACGACGAATCGGCGTCTGCGATGTCCGCGATGTCCGCATCTCATGCATCCATCACGTCGAACGCGTCAAGAGGCGACGGTTCTGATGGGCAACCGTCCCCGCCGGCGTCCGCACCAGCGTCCCCCACAGCGTCCCCACCACCACAGCCTATTGCATTGCAAAGTTTCGCGGGATCCTCAACGCTTGCCGCCACGGCACCCTTCCCCGACGGGCAAAATGATCCTGTCGACGCGCCGCGGGACAGGGTCGTTGAGCCGGATGCAACAGACGACCAACGGGGGCCAAAAGTAGCAGCAATTGAACCCGGCGGGATGGGAAGCGCGGCTGGCGCGGCCGAAACGACGAAGCGCGGGGTTGTTGGAGGAGGTCAAGAGACGGGCACGGGCGCTGTACCACGAACCGCCGCTGAGCCCACCAAGGCGCCCGTCAAGCCTAAACCTCGCGCGCTGCCTCCCAAGCAGCGCCACGCAAGCAAGGAGGTCGACGCGGCCAGTAGCGCGCCGGATAAGGGTAAGGTCGTCGCGGACGAGATAGAGCCGCTCTTGACGAAGGCCTCGTACCAGCGCAGTAAAGCTGCGGACTCTACCAACCAATCGGAGGTCGTTGGAGGGACGGCAGATACGACGTCCAATGCCGACAAGCGCGACAGTGCGACTGAGGGAGGGGCAGGCGAAGTATCCTCTGCAGGCGCCACCATACCGTTGAGTGACTCGGTGACTTTTGCTTTCGCCCCGAGTAGGACTGCACCAGGGTCTATTGATACGAAGGTCAGTACGGCGGCCACAAGCGCATGGATGGATACTCACCAACTTGTAGGCTTATGAGAAAGAGTGTCGCGAGGCGACGGGGGTGTTGGAGTTGAGGAAAGGGAAGGGATGGTATGCAGCGACTGGCATGGGTCTGTTCCTAAAGGCCGTGCCGACGAAGTTCATGAGGCAGTTGGTTCCACTCGGATGCGATGTCGCGCGGAGCTTCTGGACGTTCGAAATGAGCAACGTGGTGAGTACTGCTAGTGTTGACGTTGGACTTATCTTTCGCTCACACGACTTTTGAGGCGCCAGGCAACCTCAAAATGGAGCAGGATGACGGCGGCGAGACCTTGCCCGCTTATACTGTGGATCTGCTCCGCAAATGTATGAGCGGTAAGTTAACGAAGCCTATGTGGGCCAAGAGGACGCTACCAGACGAGGCACGTAAATCGGCGGCTCTGGACGCCAACATCGACGTATCTTTCGTGCGCCAATGGGTTCTGCTTCAACCGCCTTCTCGACGGAACGGGAATCATGGGCTGAGCAGATTGGCTGATGAGGGGATGGAATGGGAGGGCCGTCTGCCTGGAGGAGTCGCGGGCGTCAGAGTGCTTGTCGTGACGTTATTATGTTGGGGGGCGAATATCACCACCATGGCGGAAGCAAAGATTTGGGAGCGTGTGGCGTTGGACTTCATCGAGGTGCTCAACGTGCTGCAGAATCTCGCTGGGGCGTACGAGGAAAGCGTTGCTGATTCGACGCCGGATGGGCGTCCAAAGCGAGAGTCGTGAGTCTCGACGTTGACTCCCTGAATGATGTTCGCTAATGACGGTACAGGAAACCAACCGAGAAGATCGTGCAGACGCAGGGGAAGAAGGGCCAGTAGTGAAATAGCGCGTATTGTATTCATAGGAGAATGTTGCGAGTAGTTCGTTGTAACGCCGACAGTCGGATCACGTTGATGATGACGAGCTTTAAAGCCGCGGGAAGCAATCAGCGGCAAATTCCGGTTGATTGGCACGCACCCGCGTGCACGGCCGCTTGTCTTCGCGCTGCCACCACACCGCGTGCACATTAGGCGTTCTTCCTCAAGTAAGTCTTTCTCGTTATACGGCTTTCAAGTTTGAGTATGCTGATACATTATTCAGTTAGCAACGCCTGCGTGGCTTGCCTTGGAGGCGGAGCTTGTGCCTCGGGCAAAGACGCGCACGGTCGCCTTCTTCACATGGGCGACGTCTGGGGTATGTTACCTCGGCCATACAATGTCTGAGTGCCCTTACTGACAACTGAACAGGGTCCGTCTTCACCACGCGAGGTGACAACGGGCGAAGGAGTTGCATCGCTTACGTCCGCACGAGGTGTGTGAACGATGCTGGCAGCGTTGGATTCTGTAGCTAATGACTTGATATAAAGATCGTAGTTTCTGTTTGGGGACGGCGGGGATATTTGGTTCTCTCCAGCGTGCTCTCATGTCTATCTCCCACGCGCTGCGGTGCCATCTACCGAGACTCATCCGGGTGACGCTCGGGGGATCCTGGTCTTGAGATTTGTATGGTTGGCCAGTATTTTGACGTCTGCGTGAGTGACTCCATGCGCGATCTCGCTTAAGCAACAGCCACTAATCTTGATGACTCTTAAAATGCAGTCGTTCTGGCGCCGTTTTGCAAACACAGGCACTGCCATTTTCCACGCCTCCCTCAACGCCATTTTTCACGCCTCCCTCGACGCCATTTTTAACGCCTCCCTCGACGCCATTTTTTAACGCCACCCTCGGGCCGTTATTTATCGGTGAAAGGGTTTTTTAACGCTACGCGAAAGCATTGGCGGTCGCGCGGGCTGCGTTTTTAAACGGCAGGATCCGCGTTAGTTAACGCGCGACCTTTTTTTTTGTTTCTGAGGGCTGCTTAAGGGCGCGATATAGTGCTGTACAATTGTACATTATCAACGGTAGTGTAGTGTAATGGCTGAGCTACCTGCGGAAATTCTTCCGCGAGGCGACGGGTTCGATTCCCGTGCTGGCATTTTGCCGGCTTAATCCGCCCCGCGGCCGGGTTTGGCTGCGTCGGCCCGTTAAATAACGGGGTCCGTTAAAAAACACCATCTTTCGTCAGATAGCCCCGTTAAGAAACGATGGCCCCCCGGTGGTGAAAAAAAGCCATCTGCATCGCACGCGGCGTGTAGTGCCGTGCACCCCCTAGCAGCCTCCACGCGCCAATTAACATCTGCGCCGAGTGAAAGAAGGATCCGGACAACCTGAATATGACCAACAAATGCAGCATAATATAAGAGAGTTGCCTGTGGAGATATCGAAAGATCGGAGAGAGCACCTCGAGAAATGAGGAGTTCCGCAACTTCTAGCTTCTCAAATGCCAAGGCGCATGCAAGGGGTGTCATCAAGTCTTCCGAAACCGTATTAACAACGGCGCCATAGTTGAGCAATAGTTCAACGACGGGGAGATGACCACCCTCAGAGGCAGAGTGAAGCGCGGTATGACCTGACGGTTCGGCAACGTTGACATCTAGACCCCCTGCAAGCAGTCCGTTGACCATGTCGTAGTGGCCGTTGCGGGCGGCCAGATGGAGGTCAATATGATATTTGTGAGGGCAGGTGGAGATGTTCCTCTGAACCCAGAACTCTATGCGCGTGAAGGGATGAATCTGACTATACCAGTCCAAATGTGAACGCTTCGCAGTAATTTTGGCAGCCGTGCCTACACAGGATTTGGGATTCGATAGGGAAGTCCCAGTCTTGAGAAAGGTTGTCTCTGATTCGGCGCTCCGGTTTCGAGGTGAAAGATTGTGGCTGAGATCCAGGTATGTCAGAAGTCAAGTATAGAGATCTGACGCTCACGAACGTGGCAAGCGGAAGGACTCCTCTACTATTGTCGAACTCAGGGCCGCAGTTAGTAATGAATGTATGACTGCATATAGCCCGTCGGCAACGTGTACTGAGGTGAGGTCAGTACTGGCAAATGAGACACAAACTGCAGACAACTTACCACGTTGAAGAGAAGACGTATCGATCTACCCTTGGTAGTGGCGTGGCGATGCCTGATAATGAGCAGATTGGACATACAGATTGTTCGTCATTATCCGACATGCAGACAGTCATCTCAAGTTTGTCGCCCGGATTGCACTGTGATCTATCCACATAATCACCCCACGGTGTATAGAGCCACTTCCTGCTTCTAGTGATCATGTAGTTGCGCGAATCTATGAACCAAGAACCCGACGTTAGAGAGAATAGGTTGACAAGGGTTGCATGAAGAAGCTGCCGCATTATCAGCGGAATGAACAACGATACGCAGGCAATGCCATCCACATACCTCGCGGGTTTCGCATAGCTCAATCGGTAACACCAATTGGCGGCCCATCGCATCGTCCAGAAGAACTGAGTTGGGCTGTCCGTATCGGACATCCGATGCGACAGTCAAAGTCTCTCGTTTCATGTTACTCATCAAGATGCCGAAAGCAGCTAGTAGCAGCGCAGAATGGAAGGCACGCGAAGTATCGTGCATGGTGCATATAGCGAGGCAGAGAAGAGCGGCGGCAGCAGCCTTGCTACTGTCAAGATTATGGAAGATGCTCCCGACGGAAGAGCCGGGGTATGCAAGAGTACGATGAGAAGAGAGCTGAAGACCTTGTAGAGATGCTGTATGACCGTGTACGGTACGTGAAAGCTCAGCATTGCGCACTGCGGCAACTTCGAACTGCTGTAGAAGCAAGGTACAGATCTGTGCGGATGTGGCAGTGAACTGTTCCGTGATTGACGCGCCCAAGCTGTGTATCTTATCGCTGCGTGAGAAGGGAATGTCAGAACATAGCCCCTCAGAGGTTGTAGTAGGGGAACGTACGCATTGGACACGACCAGGTAGGCCGTCAAACGGTGTGTCGCCGCTGCGAGCTCCGCACGGATGCTCTCTGCGTTCCCGTGATACCCAAAACGCCATTTCAGCTTGTACCACTGACGCTTGATTCTAATGCTGCAAACATCATCGGGAGACTCATTGTGCCCGAGCATAGAAAACTCTGCCACGCGCTCAAGCGCACGCCGCACGTCATCACTACACCGATTGACCTCGCGCACGATCTGCTCGCGAAGGAGCGTATCCGTAGTATGCTCTGCAACGCGGGCCACAGATGCCAGAACAATATGCAAGGACTTCAGTTCTGAGTTGAGAACGCGCCATTTGGCGGGAGAGCCGCGGGATTCGTCTAGAGCTCGGGCTATGTCGAGGAAGAGCGTGGCTAACGCGAGAATATCGCCCACTGCGTTGCAGGTGATCGGGATCATGGTCGAGGGAGCAGCGATTCAGGACTGGGTAAGCGAGATGCAGGATGGTGGGGAGAAGGAGACCTGGGCATGCTCCTGCGTGTCCTTATCGTCGAGGATCCAAGGACGTGTTTCCTAGGATTCCCTTGTTGCACAGGTTGGGCCTCATGGCCAACACGCTGCTTCGACATCGCGAGAGTTGCTCTGTCGAGCTTGTATGATAGATTTAGAGAGATCGAGCCTGATTTGGTGCCAGACGTGCGCACGTATATAGGGAAGCGCCGGCCATGGTGGCCGAAAGCCAACCAGCGCTCGCGTGAACGGACCGGGATCCGGTGGTAGGCGTAGCCACGGAGCCCTGTTGATGTCTGCCGGTTCGGTCGAGCTCGCGAGTAAGTAAGTAAGTAAGTAAGTAAGTAAGTAAGTTCCACCCGTTGCGTCCTATCAACGCTGGGGGTTTTCAGGACCGTAAGTATCGCGCGTGTTGCCACGCGGAGACCGGAGCAAGGTAGTCTCCTTCGCAGCCTTTATCACTTGATAAAGGAGCAAGGGTCCAGCCGAGCGGAGGCGCCGGCAGTTCCCGTAGAGCTTGCTCTTCGCCTCCATCTCGCCTCTAGCCGCCCTCGCGCGCGCCGGTTTCTGTCCCACCCTCCACACCCTCTGTCCAATCTCGCTCGTCGTAGTTCGCTGTCTCGCTCAAATAACCTTGTATTTATGACACGTGCACTACTGTATCATTATTTAATACACTCGCCTGCACGATTAGCTCGCGCGCCACTACCGTTTGCTGCTTCGAGCGAATCGTGGTCCGCAGTCCAGCCCGCCCACCCGGCGGCTCGACCCGGGCCGCGTCTGGTCGACTTCGCCGACCCCCTCCCAACCCCCGTGAGCTCGTAGCAACTGCTCGTCGCGCTGCAGGTGAGGCTGGAGCCCTGGTCCACATGTGTGAACGATAGAAAGAACGAGATGCAAGGTAGTGCGATGCAAAAGGACAAATTCTAACGAGACTAATGCGTGAATGGTGAGGAGATGGTGGTATGTGAAGCGGACGGCGGGTAGACTAATGACGCAGAACCAATGCAGACGGAAAGGGATGATTAGACCGTCTCCTCCTCGTCTGCTACGACGCCGCCCTTAGGTACCTCATACCCGTCCTAGAAGATACGTTAGAGTGGCGTGATAGATAGGAAGGGAGGAGGACGCACCTCTGTGAAGTACAAGATCTGCTGTATCGCACGCAACCTCTCGTCGTCTTTACCCTACGCCTCCATCGGCTCGATCTGGTCCTTACCGTAGAGAATCCAAGGACGAGTGTCCGGATGCTTGAACACAGCAACCTTGTTGCACATTCTATTCAGTCAGGTACATCCTTCTGCAGTACTTGCAGGAATATGCATAGACCTAGGAGTATCGCGTGATAACCCAACTCCAGTCGACAGTATTGAAGAATCTATTGACGCCGATCATGGTGGTCGAAGCCAACCAGCACTTGCAATCGCGGCCCGAAATTCCCATCGCCGAGTGTTGAACGAAAGCTTCCGATGTTCACCCAGTGCTCGCTGTCTGCAAGGGTCGTATCCTTGCGCGCATACAGAACTCATACTCGCCTCCCTCACTGCCCGAGAACTCCTCAACATATACGACCACCATCGAGGCTCAATCTATCTTTATGTCTATCTAGCATGGGCCAAAGCTACCACAACAACAGACCACCGAAGCTTCGTCAACCAAGAGTCGTATGCTCTCTGGTGTCGCCCTTCTCCTCCTCATCTACATCCTGTGTAGGCGACGGCACCCGCGTCTGCGACTCGGACAAAGGGCCCTTATCATCTTCAGATTCTTCATCCTTCTCCCTCACATCACCCTCCAAGCTCGGCGCGCGCGTCTGATCATCGCCCGCTTCTTCTTTCTCCTTCTCCGTCCCCGCGCTTGACACGCCGTTCTCCGCATCTTGTACGGGCGCCGGCTGTTGACGGCGCCAGTTGAGTCCTCCCTCGTACCCGAACCATGTATAGCGCTTCGTGTGCGGTCCGCGCGCAAGGAGGACGAAGAGTTGGAACAAGCAAAATGCGACCATGAGTGCGCCGTTGGCTCTCCAGCCGTACTGGAGAAAGACCTTCGACCCTGCCGCGCTTCCGATTGCCTGACCCATACAGATCTACGCGTCATGATCAGCATCGTCACTGTCGCTGCGGAGCGCGCTCACTCACTGAGAACATCGAACATGCGTTCAATCGTGAACGGAGACCGTCGTCCAGCATGAAGATGCGGGTGGCGAGACTGATCTGCTGAGACTGACGGAACACGTCTAGTCCTAGAGTGACTAGTACGGGTATCGCGAGAGAAACTCCTGCGGCGCCCCAGTATAGGCTGAACGTCGAGAGAAGACCGATGGTCATCGCCACGGAGACGTGCCACGGTACGAGCCGGTCAATGGCTCGTCCGTAGATGGGTGTGCAGCACACGCCCACGACGCCGATGAGGCCGAATAGGCCAATGACGGTACTATGGGACAGGTGTGAGTATGACGGTCGGATAGTAGAGCGATTACTGGGCTCACCTTCCGTAGTGATATGGGCTGTCGCCGAGAAGGAAGGTCAGAGTTACCCAGAACTCTGCACGAGCATGTGAGCATTCGATCTTGTACAGGTAGAGTATCACTTGCCTGTGAACATAGCGGCTGTTTCGAACGTCAGTCTCCCTAGCATGCGGGCAATGCAAGTCGCGTGGCTCACCGGCTCCCACTTGGACCAAGCAGACTTGTATAAGCGTAGGTTCTGTAGCCGCAAGACGGAACATGGTTGTGAGGATCTGCGCATATGTCGTTCCCTTCTTAGCTTTTGGCGGGAAGTCGGGAAGCGTTGCCCATAGAGCCACTAGTGAAGCCAGTTGAAGACCGCAAGCGGCAGCATACACCACACGCCAGGTGATGTACTGCGCGACAACCCCGCTCATGATTCTTGCGAACATGACACCGAGAAGTAGGCCGGACAGGACGATCGAGATCGCGCTGGCTCGTTTGTTTGGCGGGGCAAGATCTGCTGCTAGAGGAACAAGAACCTGCGGAGAACAGCTCGAGACGCCGATGAAGAAGCATATGACTTCGAATGCGATGAGGGAGTGAGTTGCTGCGAGACCGACGGTGAGGAGCATGGAGATGGTGATAATCAGCAATAAGAGTTGTCGCCGTCGAACGAGGTCGCCGAGAGGTGTGACAAGGAGGATTCCTGCGGCGTATCTTGGAGAAGCGACTCAGAGAGTATAGCAGATCCGCGGGGATAAGCGGACTCACCCGCCCTGTACAAGAGTAGGAACACTAGCGGCAACGCGTAAGCAAGATAGAGAGGAACGCCGAACAGTAGATGCGCACCTGGAGATGCGGTCATATGATACACCGAATGATTCAGACAGATGGACTGCACGTAGAGTGTCAGCTTCGGCTAGGTATGGAGAAGAAAGGGAAGATCGCACTGAGTAACGGTTGAGACTATTCGGAGCATCGAATGTGAGCTAGTCGTGCTCAACATACCGCATGGTATACGTACATAATACAGATTGGCGACGACTGGGTGCGCATGAGAGCCAAACCTCAATTCATGCGGCAAACTTGCTCACTGAAGGTGCTACTTGCACCGAAGATCATATTCAAGACAAGCCCAAGCACTACAGGTCGTTCTGGGTCATATCGGAGTCTCTTAGGTATGGGCAGGAAGCCGAAGTCGCGAGCACGATGTGGTTTGGGTTCAGTTGTTATGCCGGAAACCCCGCGATTTCCTTGTCAGGCATTGCGAAACCTGGCGGCCTTGCTAGGCGTAATAAGGTGGCCTGCGTGGCGT